TGCGGTCTTGGCATCGGCACTTTTACCCTCCGAAGTGCCTTCCTCCTGTTCATTCGCAGATCTCCCCAAGAGCTTCTTAGGGTCATCCCAGGAGTAAGATCCATCGGGTGGGTGGTAGCGAGCGCAAGGAGCCAGGGCCTGAGAGGATTAAAAGAGGCAACTTAATGTGCTGTCAGTCGACGAGGACCCAGTAGATCAGGGTAGCGGCACTTCTGGCGAGATTATTCCAACTGGACAGGACCTAATGATTACATAACAGGCTTGTTAAACGTAAGAAGAATTAGCCAAATACGCATAACGTGTGCATCTGTTCGCATTGGGAGTAAAGTACTGATGTATAAAAGCAAAGCTCTTAATGTTGTCATAACTCTGGAACTTTACAGACAAATTATTACACAACGCGCCAATCAACTGCTGTCCGACGAAATATGGTTGAAATGAACAGGAAAGCAAGAGCCTCAACCGTCTATTTGAATTTGATAAGGAGGGTGGATGAATTTATCTGCCATTGGATGAAATGTCAAAAAGCAACCCTCACCATCTAGGCCTCCCATTAGGACCAACCATCGCCAAAGTATAGATAAAGTTGCCTCCTGATAGACAGAAATAGTGTTTAAAGCAGCCAGCATTCTGTCGGGAAGCGAACTTATGGGGAAACACCCCTCCATGCCTTACTTTGCAGGAAAAGTCCAATCTGAGTGGTGGAATATATAGGAAACCAACTACTCGCATGCAAAGCAAGACAGCTATCCTCGTAAGGAGTACAACACCTACGAGCCTAGGGGCCACCAAAAACTCATCTTGTGTAACCCTTTCCCCGCATTTAAGACTTCAACGTCGAACAGGCTACATGAAGCGTTTAATATTTGTGACTTCAATGTTGAACAGACTATATGAAGTGTTCAATTTAGCAGTCGTGAAACCTAGATAAATGAATGCTGCTCCCCAGACGCATCTCCTTCGATTTATCGTTTGGCAAAAAATCCACTCCCGAAACTGTTGCACTTGCTTTACGAGGAGACTTTACACACATAGTGAATTTACCCCGGGAAGAGGCAATACTAAACAATGGTTCAACCACCAAACACATTCTCACACCTACCAGCAAAGCATTCCTTTAAAAACAAAAGCAACTGATTGATAATGGCCTTTGCCATCTAGGGCGGGTTAACTAGTAACATTTAGGAGATAAGTTACAGTACTCCTAGAAGATCACGCAGACCATTCAGGAGAAGCGTATGGTCAAAAACTTACTTGTATAGTCTTATTCAAGCCGTAAATCACAGTATGAAGGCGCGCATTCACGAGGGTTGCTAGGTCAGGTGCCTGGATAACAGTTCCATTCACAATGTAGTAGTAGGCAATGGGGGTAACTAGCGTTGTTGACAGCCGCTGTTGTTTTCGAATCACAAAGAGCACTGGTTCCTATAGAGAAGACGAGTTTATCTTCATAACCATTGAGGTACATAATTTAAATTTTTAACAGATTGCATGACCATTAAGAAAGTGCGGTCAGTGGCGAAAAAAAAATAGAACGAAACCAACAAAAAACAGCAAGTGTACTTGCCTGTGAGTGATGTAAATAGAACTCAATTCCAGTCATTGAAACTAGTTGCTCAGGACTCAGTTTTTGCATTCGGATAACCTCATTATTGCACTCACGATCATAGAATGGATTGGAGAGGTCACAGAAGTACTCAAGGACATTTGCTGCACAAAGGAGATGGGGACTAAATAAGGGATTGGCCCATGAAACCTCATAGAGTGAATCAGTTTCAGTCGATATTTCGGGGGACATGACAAAAATCTCAGAACTGTTTGAGCTGCGATTTGGTTTCCTTTGCTTTCCGTTCGAAGAAGTCGTGTTTCGCCCGTAGGTATTTCAAACGGAGGACGTGAGTGTAGTATCCGCAAACAAAGCCAACGCTAAAGATGATCGCCGCGGTGACAGTACGCATATGCGCAAAGGATGCGTCTATCGGAAAAAAAAACTGAAAAACCAAATATGGATAAGGTACATTTATGACCTACATGATAATCTACTACGATAAATGGCTTTCGTTTCTGTCAATAGTAACTTACAGACTTTTAGAAAACCTATATCGCATTCTGGTTGTTGTCAACAAAAAAGAGTATGGTTTATTTCTGATGCACACAAAAGACTGGAAGCAAGTGTATGCGAGAAATTTACGGAGCGCGATTGAAAAATCATTGAAGGCAATTAAAAGAAGGAATCATATAGCATTTACGTTCCAGATGTGGATGGATGCAACGGACCACTGCCACCCACCGGTGGATCGTTCACGCAGTTTAGGTCTGTTTCAAAGGGCAGCCTTTTCATAGGGACAACTGCCAACGGCTCCATCTCCATCGATGGGAAGTTAGTATGTGTGCAAAACATCGTACGCTATGCGTCCGGTGAAATAGGCTTGGTGTACTCAGAGTACGAGGATATTAGGAATTTCTGCGACTACACTGAGAATTCATCAGAATTTAAAGTTTTTCAAGCTAAAATAGGAGGAACACTGAGCACTTGCCCACTCCCGTCGCATGTCCGGAAGTACACATACTTCCCCATTGGCGATCAGAACGTGCTGATGGAGATAAACGAACGGTGGGACGTCGCCGGTTATCGTGCTTAGGTGCCCGTGTGGCTGCAAGGTAAGTTTGGATGTGAACTTTAAATTTTTGTACTGTTTGTACTGTTTTTTTTTCCTGTACATGTACCGTTTTTTACACCATGAATAAAATTTATTGCACACCTTCCAGTTTCGCTGGAAGGGACTTTTTCCTCTACTGGTTACTATTTAAATAGTAACCTGGAGGTTGTTAATAGGCGCAAAAAGCGACCTTTCCTTTTTAGAAACATGTCGCACATATCAACAAGACACGAAAGGCCACGACGCCACCGACGGCGCCCACGCGCCCTCGACGAAAACGACGAAGGTGACATATCCTTTTCATCATCAGCCTCCACGGTATGATAGGCATTTCACTAACTTTTAACTTCTTAGGAAAGCCACAGCTCGGGTGAAAACACGATGCCTCTCGCGACTTCCACACCCCCGCCAAGGGTGAGAAGCCCCCAGCGCAGTCACCAACAGCGGCCTACAGGTCGCCGTCACCGAGAACAGAGGCGGTTCCAGAGATATATGATTCGATGGACCGAACAGGCTAATCGGAGGTTTCTGGCTATTGAAACCTTCCTACAAAACCAAATACTTTTCCCAACGCCAGGTGCCAGCACTTTCGTTGGCACCTCTAGCATGGAGCTACCGTTTGCCAAAATTCATACTCTGGAGGACATGAATCGTGTGGAACAAGTGTTAAGGGACACTGAAAGAAAACAGCTGACTGTAAGGGAGTGT